CACGGCGGGGGCGGGGGGCTGCACCTCGCCTGGGCTCCCATCCCTGGTGGCCCCCCGACCCTGTGTGTCCCTGCGGCAGCGAGAGCAGCGGGGAGATCCTCAACAACTGCTGCGTGATGGAGTATCACCAGGCCACCGGGACGCTCAGCGCCCACTTCCGCAACATGGTGAGCGCGGCCGGCTTCCCCCTCCCCACCCTCCCGCCCCGCTGTGCTCACCCCTCGTGCCCCCATCCGTGTTGCATCCCCGCTGTGTTCACCTCGGTGCCCCCCCCATGTCCTCATCTGTCCCCCCCCCCTCCCCTGCTCACCCCTCGTGTCCCCGCAGTCCCTGAAGCGGATCAAGCGCTCGGACCGCCGCGGGGCCGAGTCGGTGACGGAGGAGAAGTTCACCATCCTCTTCGAGTCGCAGTTCAGCGTTGGTGGCAACGAGCTGGTCTTCCAGGTGAAGGTAAAGCCACCAGCCACGTCCCCTCTGCAGGGCCTGTGCGAGCCACGGGGACTGTGCCCAGGGGTGCGGGGCCGTGGGGCGGCCGTGCAGGCTGGGGTGGCCCGGGGGTGCCCATGAGCGATGCTCCCGCGGTGCCCCACAGCCCATCCTGGTCGTCTTCCTCCCGGCAGACGCTGTCCCTGCCAGTGGTGGTGATCGTGCACGGCAGCCAAGATAACAATGCCACGGCCACCGTGCTCTGGGACAACGCCTTCGCCGAGCCCGTGAGTGCCAGCTGTGGTGGGGCAGGACAGGCCCCGGGGGGGCTGCGGGAGCTGGGCTGGGTGGCCCGGCCGTGGCGTGCGTGGAGGCGGCGGGCAGGGCTCGGTGCTGACCCAGAGCTGTGCCCCCCCAGGGCCGCGTGCCCTTCGCCGTGCCCGACAAGGTGCAGTGGCCGCAGCTCTGCGAGGCGCTCAACATGAAGTTCAAGGCGGAGGTGCAGAGCAGCCGCGGGCTGACCAAGGAGAACTTGGTGTTTCTGGCGCAGAAGCTCTTCAACAGCACCAGCTCCCACCTGGAGGACTACAGCAGCACCACGGTGTCCTGGTCCCAGTTCAACCGGGTGAGCGGGCTGGGCTCTGTGCTGGGAGAGCCGCGGAGCCCCGGCGTCCCGCTGCGCGCTGGGACAGGGGCTTTGCTGCGCCCGCGGTGCCAGTGCTCGTGCCGGGGGGCCTGGATGGGGCACATCCCCCCCCCAAGGAGCCGTTCCTTGCTGGAGTGATGCAAATGCGAGTCGGCCGTCGGCTGCAGTGGGGCGGGAAGTGTCACCCTGCTCGCTCGGAGGGACTCGGGGTGCTGTAGGGCCCGCAGACGGGGTCTGTGTCCGCCGGTTTGGCAGCGCTGGCGGGCGTCCCGCAGCCCGGGTCCCCGAGTCTCCACGACTGCACCAGTCGCTTGTGCTATTTAACAGCAGCTGTGAGGCTGGAGGTAGGAGTGCTCATTTTCTGGGGATTCCAACAGGAAAACCTGCCCGGGAGGAATTACACCTTCTGGCAGTGGTTTGATGGGGTCATGGAGGTGCTGAAGAAGCATCTGAAGCCGCACTGGAACGACGGGTAAGAGCCGCCCTGCCCCGCGCTGCCCGGCCCCCAGCCTCCCGGCCCTGACACCCCCGCTGTGCCTAGGGCCATCCTGGGCTTCGTCAACAAGCAGCAGGCGCACGACCTGCTCATCAACAAGCCCGACGGGACCTTCCTCCTGCGGTTCAGCGACTCGGAGATCGGCGGCATCACCATCGCGTGGAAGTTCGACTCCTGTGAGTGTGTGCCAGGAGCCGGCACCCCCCGGCCCCACTGTCCCCGGCCTCGGCGGCGGGGGGCTCGGCCGTCTCGTGCCCACGGGGCTGGTGCTGCTGCTCCTGCACCTCCTGTCCCGGCCGGGCATGCGGGAGCCTTCCTCGGGGAAGGGGCGAGCGCGGGAGCCTGCGGGAATGCCTCGGCTGCCCTGCGGGGAGCGGCGCTGCCGGCGCTCGCTGCAGCCACGGCCGGGTCCGTGGGACCGGGCTAAACCGTCCCGCCCAACCGTGGGGCCGTACGAAACGCGGTGACTCCGTGGTGCTTCCCACTCCACGGGGTTTGCACGGGTTGCCCGACCCCCCGCAGCAAGTCTGCTCGTCGCCGCTCTTCCTGAGCGTCCTTCGGAGGGTCGCGCGGCCGAGGAGCCCCGCAGAGCCCCCGCGGCCCGGGGGGACCTGCCCCCCCTGTGTCCGGATGGGGCCAGACCTGCCTCGCGTTCGCTGTGCCTCCTGCCTGATCCTGTTTTCCGGCGACCTGCCTTTTGTCCCTAAATGTTGCCAGGGGAAGGATGCAGCACGGGAAACGGTGTCTGACGTGCGAGGTGATCTCGCAGCCCGCGTCCGCAGCGGGGCCGGGGGCCGGCGGTGGCTCTGGGCGTCACCGCAGTCCTTGCTCCTGTCTTCCAGCTGAGAGGATGTTCTGGAACCTGATGCCTTTCACCACCCGGGACTTCTCCATCCGCTCCCTGGCCGACCGCCTCGGGGACCTCAGTTACCTCATCTACGTGTTCCCTGACCGGCCCAAGGACGAGGTCTTCTCCAAGTACTACACACCGGTTCTCTGTGAGTCCACGCCAGGTAGCGCTGCCCCTTCACCCCACGCGTGTCCCTCTCCTTCATGCATCCGAGCGGGGTGAGCCAGGGTGCTCAGCACCCCTCCGCCGTGGGCCGCAGCCAGCCCCGCGGGGGCTCTGCAGCTGGCCGCGCGTGTGAGCCCCCCAAGCCCCACCGCAGGCTTGCGGCACGTGCCCGCGGCTCGGGGCCTTAGCGCTGCCTTCCTTCCTCCAGCTAAAGCCGTGGATGGATACGTGAAGCCACAGATCAAGCAAGTGGTGCCAGAGTAAGCCTGATCCTGAACGCAGCCCCTGGGGGCAGTCCCGTGGGATCGTCCCCGACGAGCTGGCCAGGGCGGCCGCCAGCCCCGGGCACCTCTGCTCTCGGGCTCTGGCACTGCCACTGGCCACGCCGGTGCTGAGCCGGTGCCGGGGGCTGAGGAGCGTGGGCCCGTGGCCAAGGCAGGGCCGGGTGTTCCCCGGGAAGGTGGATGCCCCCCTCGCCGTGCTGCCACCCGGGGGGACCCCGCAGATTGTCCCTGTTTGTGGCTGTGGGGTTTGGGTCCCCTGCGGGCACCCCGCCAGCCTCGGGAGATGCCGGTGGGAGGGGGTGGGAATTCCCGGAGCGCAGTGTCACCCCAGGGGAGCCCATCCTGTCCCATGCCAGCGCTCATCAGCCCCCTCCCCCCCCGTCCCCCCAGGTTTGTCAGCGCATCAGGTGATTCTGCCCCCGGAGGGGCCACCTACATGGACCAGGCTCCCTCGCCCGCCGTCTGCTCCCAGCCCCATTACAACGTCTACACCCAGAAGTAGGTATCCCGGCCCCCGGCCCCGTGCTGCCGCGGCCGCTCCCCCCCTCACCCATGCCTCCCGCAGCCCCGAGGCCGTGCTGGACCCCGAGGGTGACTTCGACCTGGACGACACCATGGACGTGGCAAGGCACGTGGAGGAGCTGCTGCGGCGTCCCATGGACAGTCAGTGGATCCCCCACGCCCAGTCGTGACGGGCGAGCGCCCGGCCCCCCGCCCCCAGCGCTGCGGGGACTGTGCTGTGTTCGTGTCTCTGTGCCGGGGGGGCGCCGGGTGGGCCCTGCCCCGGAGATTTGCTCTGTGCTGCCCCGAAACGCAGGCTGGGGTCCGGCTCTTTGGTGTTTATGCCCTTGTATAAACAGCAGCGGATTTGTCGCATGGTTTTCCTGTATGTTCCTTTTAAGAGGCCCAGCTTCGGCTTTCCGCTTCTGCAAGCACCGGCCCCGCAGCCCCCCCTGCTCCCCGCCGCGGAGCTGCTCGGGGCGGGGGCCCGGGCTCCGACCTCGGGTTTGTGGGGCTCGCTTTTCGCAGTCGTCACTAAGGATGTACGTGTCGCTGCCGTGTTCTACCCCGTGGCTCCGTTCCCAGGGTGTGTGTGGGCACAGCGGGCTCTGGCACGGGGCAGAGGGGGGGGAACCCGGGGCTCCCCCCGGCCCATGCTGGTGCTCTGCTCTATAGCTGCGGGGTCCCCTCCTGGACCTCGTCTCCTCCTCTGGCCCCCTGAGGATGGGGGAGCCCCTTCGGCTCCCGGCCCCCGTGTCCCCCCCACCCCGGAGCGGGAGGGAGGCAGGGCGTGAGGGCACCCAGCGAGGGCAGCCTGGCAGTGTGGGCGGTTTGGGGGGAGCGGAGCCCTCAGCCCCCGCACCCCCCCGACTCTCCTGTCACCCTGGCTGAGAAGCTCTGGGGTCTTGGCCATGTTATTTTTCTACCACAGAGTAAATAAAGCACGGAATATTTTTGTAACACAAAAGCTCTGGGTTTCACGTGTGTCTTGGGGAGGAGGCAGGCCCTTGCCCTGGTAAGTGTTGGGAGGTGTGGGGGGGGGCCCGGGCTTGTGGGGGACACGGGTGGCCCCCCGCTCCCCGATCGCTGCATGAGGCCGAGCAGGCGCCCGGTGCCCCGGGCCAGCGCGGGGTTGGAGTCCACAGCCCGCCCCCCCCCCACGCTGGGGGGGCGAGCAGGGGCCGGGCCCCCACCGGCAGCCCCCGGCACAGGCAGAGCCGGGCCCGGGGGGGGCACTGCTGCTGCGGGGCGGTGCTGGGGACGTTCTCCCGGGGAAAAGGAAAGCAAACCAGACACATTGTACAACTTTTTTTTTTTTTTTTTTAATGAGCCTTCTCTTGCCGAGGCGTGGAAAACGGGGGGCGTTGCTCTTGGGTTTTAATTGCGATTTAATTCTCCGCTGGGCGGGAGGGGGCCGGGGCCGCGTCCGCGTCGGGTTTTTGGTAGACAGGAGAAAACGAAAATAAAAATAAAGGCGGAGCTGGCGGCGGGGGCGGTGCCGGTCGCGGTCATTCTCCGTCATTTCTGCCGGAGGCGGAATAGCCGGGGGGGGGGGGGGTCGGCGCCGGTGCCCGGGGCGGGGCCGTGCCGGAGGTCGAGGGGGGGCGCCCGGTGCGGCGGACCCGGCCCGGGATGCTGCCGGCCGTGGCCGTGGTGGCCGTGGCCGTGGCGGCCGTGGCCGTGGCCGTGGCCGTGGCGCTGCCCGCCGCCCCCGCGCTGCGGCACCGCCTGGCCCGTTGCGCGCTGCTCCGCGCCGCGGGCTGGTCCCGGCGGCGGCTGGCGGGGGGGGGCGGCGAGGTGCGGCCGAGCCAGGAGCGGCGCCTGCGGCGGCTGCTGCCCCCCGGCACGGCCCGCGGTGAGGGGCGGGCGGCGGGGCGGGGGGGCGCCCGGCGCCGCGACCCCCCCGCTCACCCCGCGCCTCTCTCGGCAGGCTCCGAGGCTTTCCGGGAGCGGCACCCCCTGGGGCGGAGCTGCCCCGACGGCGCGCCGGGGGGACGGGTCCCCCCGCTGCGCCCCTGGGCTCTGCTCCGCGGCTGCTGGGCCACCGACCCCCCTCTGCAGGTACGGGGCGGGGGGGGCAGGGAGGGGGGCAGGGGCGCCCCGCGCGGGGCGGGGGGGGCGACGCTGACCCCCGCCTCTCCCCGCGCAGGGGTCCCTGCTCTACCTGGCCGCCCTCCGCGACGCCTTCCCGCAGGCGCTGGCCCCCCGGGCCACGGCCCTGCTCTCCTGGGCGCCCGACCACCCCCGCGCCCCGGCGGGCTGGCCCCTGCCCACCCTGTACTGCACCCCGGCCGAGGCGGGCACCCTGCCCTCGCGGGCCGCCGCTCTGCGGGCGCAGCTCCTCTTCGCCCTGCGGGCTCGCGCCCTGCGCGTGCTGGAGGCCGGGCTGGCCACCGAGCTGCACGACGCGCTGGCCGCCCTGCGTGCCGGCTGGCCCGGGCTGGCTCAGGACCTGGCGCTGGGCAGGCTGAGCCCCCAGCCCGGGCTGCCCGAGGATGCGCGGGGCCGGCTGCAGGCGCTGCTGGCCCCCGACGCTGCCCGGGCAGCCGAGCTGCGGGCCGAGTGTGCCCGTGGCTTCGAGGGCATCGTGCAGCGCCTGTGGCCGCAGCTGGAGGTGGTGGTGGTGGGGACGGCGCACGGCGCGGAGCGGCTCTACTGCGACGGCCTCCGCCAGGCCGACTGCAAGGGGCTGCCACTCTTCTGCCCCTTCTACCGGGCGGCGGGAGGTGAGTGTCGCCTGCGCGGGGCTGCCCCAGCAGCACGGGGGGAACCGCTGTTGTACCGCCGCACAAACTCCCCCCTGCCCGTGCAGACCCAGGCACAGCTCTGTGCCGCATCCCTCCCTGCTCTCTGAAAACAGCTCTGTCCTGGCACCGGCTGACAAGTGCCCCCTTGGAGGGGGGGAGAGGCTGTGTGGGCAGGGACAGGGGGGTCTGGGGGGCTCACACTGACGTGTGCTACCCTCTGCCCAGCCCTGCTCGGTGTGAACCTGTGGCCGGAGGAGCCAGCACCCCGGTTCCTGCTGTGCCCTGACTGGGCTTTCTTCGAGTTCCTGCCCTGCCCGGCCGAGGAGGAGCCGCGGACGGTGCTGCTGGGGGAGCTCTGGGAGGGACGCGAGTACGGGCTGGTCCTGACGGCCCAGCCCGGAGAATACAGGTGCCTCCTCCCTGCTGTGATGGTCTGGGGGGGCTGCCAGCCCCATGCCCCCAGCACCGGCTCCCCTCACACCCCCCTGCCCACGCAGGTGCCGCACAGGGGAGGTGCTGAGGGTGGCCGGCTTCCACAAGCAGTGTCCCGTGGTGGAGCCCGTGCGCAGGTGAGGGCACCCCAGTCCCTGCCCCTCACTGCGGGGGGCTGCGTGGGGGTCCCCGTGTTGGGATGGGACGATGCTGGTGGCACTCCCGGTATGGGGCACCCACCCGGGCCCCCCGCACCGCAGGGAGAGCCAGGCGCTGAGCGTGCGGGGCGAGAGCATCCCCGAGGAGCGGTTCTGCCAGAGCCTGTGCCGCGCCGTGGGCATGTGGCCAGGTGCTCGCCTGGTTGACTACGTCTGCGTGGAGAGTGGCCTCCTGGGTGAGTGTCCCCTGCGCTGCCCGAGACCCCCCCGAAAGCGCAGCTGGCGCTGCCCAGGGCTCTGCCGGCCCCCCCCGCGCCCTGCTCGGCTGGTACGGCTGGGGGGCTGCAGGCAGCTCTAACAGCCTCACGATGCTGCCCAGGTGCCACGTCGGGGGTCTGCGCCCCCCACTACGAGGTGTTCGTGGAGCTGCGGGGCCTGCGGGACCTGTCGGAGGGGCAGCGCTACAGGGTAAGGGGGCCGGGGCAGGGGGGTGGGTGAGGGGGCCAGCGGGGGGGCTGCAGCCATGCGGTGGCCTCTGTGACACGGGGATGCTTTGCTGTGGGAGGGGGCTGGGGGGGCACGGGCACAGCCCAGCCCTGCCCGGGGTTTGCAGCCACCGGCGGGGCCCTGGGGACGGTGGGGGGGTGGCAGCTGCTCGGCTGGGACAGTCGGTGCGGGACCAGCACGGGCAGCCCGCCCTCTCTCTGCAGCTGGACCAGTGTCTCCAGGAGGATTTCCCCGTCTATAAATCCTTCCGCTTCAAGGGCAGCATCGGGCCCCTGCGCCTGCACCTGGTGGGGGCCGGGGCCTTCGCCCGGCTGCGGGAAGCACTGGGCCCCCCCCGCCCCATGCCCAGGGTCCTGCGGGAGGAGCGGCTGCTGCGGCTCATCCAGAGCACGGTCATCTCCTAGGGCAGCCCGGGGGGCCGCAGCCCGCCCGCCTCGGGGTTTGTGGGGTGCGCAGCTGCTGGCGAGGGAGCGGGGGCCGAGCCCCTGCGGGGGACGGGGGTGCCCAGCCCCGGGGGGGTTGGCTGAGTGGAGCGGATGGAGACCCTGCAGGGTGGGCACCCTGCTCGGTGCTGCCCGTGGGGATGGAGCAGGACACGGAGCACATCCCAGCCCTGGGCGCTCACCAGCAGCCCTGGCCCTTCGCCGGGCTGTTCTGGGCATGGGGGGGGGGGACTGTGGGTGCTTGTGAGCATCACGAGGCAGCCGGGTCCTGCCGCCAGCAGCTCGCCCCACTCAGTGCCTGGGCAGCGCCCGCAGGCAGCCGCAGCGGGGCCGGTGCCCCTGCCTGTCCCCAGGGACACCTTAGCCATCACAGCCTGCGGCCAGTGCGAGGGGGACAGCAGAAACCTCGCCGGGAATGGGAGGACCAGCAGAGCCTCGGGCCCACGCAGGAGCTCGGCTCTTCCCCACACTGAGCTCAGGGGCCCTGTGGTATTTTGTCCCCTGGCAGGGCCACCGCGGGCAGGGCCACCGCGGGCAGGGTGGCTGGTGGTGGCGGGTGCCGGCTGCCACGGAGCAGCCCCTCCGCCTGGCTCCAGCGCACATCCGCTGCTTTAGGAAAGGATAAGCTCCAGTGAGGGCTGCTTTTAATGTTTAAAAAAACAGAAGCAAAATAAAGGAGGATTATCTCTCTCTCTCAAAAAAAAAAAAAAGGGCAGTGCTCTGGGATTGATTTTTTTTATATACTATTATTTTTAATCCTCATTAAAGAGATTGCTTGATGACAGCCCTGAGTCTGGTGGTTGCGAAGTTGCTGTTGTTTCCTCGGGGGTCCTGGAGAAGGAGCAGCCATGAATATTTAACCAGTTGAGGGGCTGGCTGGGGCACTGGGAGCATCTGGCTGTCTGTTTGTGCCTTTGAGGCACAAATGTACCAGACGGGAGGGACTGGCCCTTTCCCCTCCTGCTTGTTAAGGTTTATTTTAAGGGCTGGTGAGCTGCGGTGCTCGGGGAACCTGCTGTGCGGGCAGCTACTGCCGGGGTGGGGGCAAGCCAGGCCGCTGGCAGGAGACAATGTCTTGAACAAGGTCCACACAAAGCATCCCCCCCCCAGCACAGCCGAAACCTCCGCCAGGGATGGAAACCGGGCCCCTTCCCCCCATCGCTGCTGGAAAAAAAGCCTGGAGCAAAATTCCTGCTGCAAGTAGGGGAGAAGCTGGTGGGGGGGGCGGTACCTGGGGCTGGCTGGGGGGGGGGGGATGCTGTGAGCCTGGATTGCTGCCAGTGGGGCAGGGACACTGGTGCTGGGCCAGCGGGCATGGGGTGTGCCTGGCACTGGCAGGGTACGGGCTGGGCTTTAGTGGGGAGCAGGCCGGGGGGTGACTGGCTAAAGGCCAGGGTGGTGAAGCTGGGCTCTGGGGGGGCCCGTGGGGGGGCTCTGGGGCAGCCCTGTGGTGGCAGAGACCTGCGCAACTGGATCCAGCCCAGAGAGCCCAGGGGGGCTGCTGGTCCCGGTGTCTGTGCCACGCACAGCCCTCCCTGCAGTGACCCCAGCAAAAGCCTCGGGCCCCCTGCCCCGGGGAGCTGCGCTGGCCCAGGGCTTCACCCCGCGGCTGCTGCTCTGCTCAGCCTGGCAGCGCCCGCCCTACGTGCCCCCAGGTCCTGCCCGGGCCCTGGCCCCGCTGGGGGCTGCAGGTATTGGGGGGGTCAGGCTGCAGGCTCGGTTAGTGTGCCAGGCTGCAGGGTGCAGGTGCAGGCTCAGTTTGGGTGCCAGGCTGCAGGGTGCAGGCTTGGTTTGGGTGCCAGGCTGCAGGGTGCAGGTACAGGCTCGGTTTGGGTGCCAGGCTGCAGGGTGCAGGTGCAGGCTCAGTTTGGGTGCCAGGCTGCCGGGTGCAGGTGCAGGCTCAGTTTGGGTGCCAGGGTGCAGGGTGCAGGTGCAGGCTCAGTTTGGGTGCCAGGGTGCAGGTACAGGCTCGGTTTGGGTGCCAGGCTGCAGGGTGCAGGTGCAGGCTCAGTTTGGGTGCCAGGGTGCAGGGTGCAGGCTCGGTTTGAGTGCCAGGCTGCAGGGTGCAGGCTCGGTTTGGGTGTCAGGCTGCAGGGTGCAGGCTCAGTTTGGGTGCCAGGCTGCAGGGTGCAGGTGCAGGCTCAGTTTGGGTGCCAGGCTGCAGGGTGCAGGCCCGTTTCGGGTGCCAGGCTGCAGGGCGTGGGCGGGGTGGGGGTGCCCGGCTTGGCCGGGGTCCCACCGGGACGGGGCGGCTGCCGGGCCCGGGCGCTGCGGCGCTGGGCGGAGGCCGGGGCGGGGGCGGGGGTTGGCCCCGGCGGCGGGAGGTGCCGCTGCCCGGTGCCCGGTGCCCGGTGCCCGGTTCCCGGTGCCCTTCCCCGCTCCCCGCCGCTGCAGCCCGGGGCGGGGGGGCCGCGCCGTCCCCGCCCCCGCCCCCGGCCCGTCCCCTCCTCCCGGCCGCGCCGCCTCCCGCCCGCTCCGCCACTGAGCCCGCAGCGGCGGCGGCGGCGGGCGCAGGCTCCGGGGGCGCCCGGGGCCCCGCGGCGGCCGCTGCCCTGAGGCCGCGGGGGATGGCGGAGGGGCCCCGGGGCGCCCCCCCGCCGGGCTCGCCCCGCCCCGCCCCGCCGCTGCCCAACGGGCCCCGGGGCGGCGGCGGGAGCCCCGGCTCGGGCTCGGGCAGCAGCAGCCGTGAGGACTCGGCGGAGCGGAGCCCCGCGCCCGCCGCGCCCCGGGCCAGCATCATGAAGGTGAGAGCTCCGCACCGGCCCCCCCCCCCCCCGCCCCGGAGCGGCCCCCCGGGACCGGCGCCGCCCGGCACCTGCGCAGGGCTCGGGGGGGGGGGGCCGAGCCGCGTGTGTGTCCGTCCGTCCGTCCGTCCCCCACCCCGCACCGGGAGCTGCTCGGCCCCCGGCCCCGGAGGGCACCGGCCCCGCCAGCCCGCGCTGCCCGCCGCCCCCCCGGGGCTCGCCGCCCCCCCGGGCGGGCTGGTGGGGCCGCGGGGCAGCTGCAGCCCCGGATCGGGGCCCGGGGGTCGCCTGCCCGGCCGGGCACGGCGTTTGCCCCCCACCCAACGCAGCGGGCTGGCCGGGGCTGCTGTGGCCGGGGCTGGCGCGGCGGCCCCTCGGGTCCCCCCAAGGGCAAAGCCGGGCTCGGGCTCCGTGCGCTGCGGGGCCCGGCCTCTCCGCTCTGCGTGGCCGTGGGTTGCCCCGTCCGGCCGCTGCTGCTCCCGTGGGGCCCCTGCACGGCCACGCTGCTCCCGCACCGCAGCATCGCCCTGTGCTGCCCGGGGCACCCACGGGAGCCGGTGAGAAGATGCCTCATCCTTGCTCCCGAGCACCTTCCGCTTTCCCGTGCTCCCTCCTGCAAAGGTGCTGAGCCTTGGGCCTGGCCTGGCAGGCTCCCGACCCGCTCCTGACACCTCCCCGGAGCCGTGCCACGGCCGGGGAGGGGCACTGGTGGGGCTGTGGGCTAGGGAGGGTCTCTGGGGGTCTCCCACGTGGGTGGGCAGTGGGTGACACGCATGCTTTTCTAACTGAGCCCCCTTAATTGTGCTTATGCCGGCGGTGCTGGCTGACACAATAGGTCACGTCCGCCCGGGACCCGCCTCCCCACTCTTGGCAGCCTATTTTAAGCCGGGATTGCACCGCTGCTATTAATACCCTGCGTGGGGGCTGTTCCCGTGGTGCGGGCCCAGCCCCGCTCTTCTGCCCCCGGGACCTGGCTCTCCGGGCAGAGGGGGCAGCCCCTCTCCAGGGCGGCTGGGGGGACCCTCTGCCCTGCCTGGGCCCCTGATGCAAACTTGCCAGAGCGGCCGGGCTGTGCCCCACGCAGTGATGGCGAGGAGACCTCCCGACACTCCTGTGCAGCCAGAGGCCGGTGCCGGTTAACCTGCCATGCCCGGTTTCCTTGGGGACCCCTGGGGACCTCGCCGGGGTCTCCTGCTGCTCCCCAGCCGGACAGCACGCCTCCCCGCCGCTCTCTGCCCTGGGCACCATGGGCTGGAGGTGAACCTCCCGTTTGCCCCCGGGCTGGGGGCATTCCCCCCCCCCCCCCGTCACCGCTGTGCGTCACCGTGGGATTTGGCCTCACGTGAAGATCGGGTGGCCCAGGGCCAGCGCTGGTGGGGGAGGGCCCTGGCACTGGAGCAGGTCAGACCTGGCCGGCGTCCCCAGCCTGTGCTGGTCTGTCGCGCATCTCCAAGTCTGTACGGGGCCCGATCCTGCCCGGGTGCTGGAGGGCTGCAGGTCCCAAGTCCCGCAGCCATGAGTTCCCCAGGCTGAGCCTGTCTGTGCCCCGGGACCCCCACCATGCGGAGCCCGTCCGTGGGCTGCGGCTGGCAGTCAAGGGACGGTGGGCAGACGTGCTGCCCGTGGGGCTGTGTGGGCACCAGCTGCCCATGCTGTGCCCCTCCTGCCCTTGCCTGTTTGGGGGGGGCCGTCCTGCTGCTTCCCCAGCGCTGCTTTCCTGTCCCTGAGTGGGGACAGGGGACAAAGCGTGTCCTCTGCCTCCACTGCCACTGGCTGAGACCCCTCTGTGCCCGGGCTCTCCCTGGCTCGGGGGTCAGCTCACACCAGCTCTATGCAGTGGCTGGGGAGAGGGTCCGTGGGGACCCCCGGCAGGTCTGGGCCCCGACCACAACAGGACCTGGGGAGTCGCTGCCCAACCCTGGATCCCTGGGGGCTGCTGAGGCTGCTCCTGTGCTGTGGGGTCTGCGGCAACTTTGCTGCCTGCCCTGCGTGGTCGTGGGTGGGAATGGGGGGCTGTGCCCGCCGCTCGGCCGTGGTGCTGGTACAGGGTGCTGGTATGGGTGCTGCGGGGCAGGGAGGGGGCCCGCTGCCATCAGCCCGGCTACAGCGCGGAGCGAGGGCACAGTCAGGCAGCGGGGCAGGGGCTGGGCAGGGGCTGGCTGCTGACGAAGTGGGGGCTCACGTGGGAAAAGCTGCCAGCTCTGTTATTTTTTGGGATTTCCAGAAAAGCCTGGAGGAGTGAATCTGAAAGTGAGAACCACAGGCTGTGCTGGGGCAGGGGGAGCCCGGGGCCGGCCGTGCCAGGCAGCAGCAGAGCTGGCCCCGTGCAGCATCCCCGTGCCCCGGCTGGAGGACCTGCTCCCTGCTTTCTTCCCAGGCTGGAAGCGGAAGGGGCCGGAGGTCCGGCGGGCTGGGAGGATGCTGGAGAGGGACTGGGAGGCCACTGGGTCTGTTTCTGCTGGAGGAGGTGACCTTTGCCTAGTGCCCCTCTGTCCTGTCCCCTGCACCCCCTCCCCATCCCGTGCCAGCTCTGTGGTGCTTCTGGGCTGGGCTCCGGCTCCGCGGTCCCTCGCTGGGTAGTGGCAGCTGGTGCCGCGGGGAGTGGATGTGTCACTCGCTATCTTCTTGGCAGGGAACAAATGACGGTAGAAAAGCCCTGGCTGTGCCTGGCCTCCCACTGCCTCCGTTCCGCTGCCGCCGGCTGCTGCTGCCTGCCTGCACCCCTGCTCGCGCTGCCCGGACCGGGATGGGGGCAGCGGGGAGAGCCGGGACCTGGGGAAACTGGCTGCGGATGAGTCACGTCACGGCCAGGCTGGGGAGCAGCCCTGTCCCCTGGGTGAAATGTGTCCCCACCACACAGCCCGTGGCCGGGAGAGGGGTCCTGCTGCCGGGGCGGCGGCAGTCCTGCTCTCCTGGCTGGGCAGCAGAGCCACGGTCGGGCCGAGGTGCCTCAGCCCCGAGGCTTTCGGTTCCTCTGTCTCCTGCTGTCACGAGCTGCTGTGCAGTGGGGACCCCCCCCCGGTCAGGCCTCAGGGGACAGCAGGAAGGGAGGGGCAGCCAGTGGGCCCTTCCCCATTCCCACACTGGGTTGCTTGGCCGAGTAAGGACGGTGGTCACGTGGCGGCTGAGATTAGGGCCACTGTGCTTGCCAGGGCACTAATTGCGGGAGGTAATTGGCTGAAGAGGTGCTTAGCACATGCTGCAGAGCTGGGCAGGGCGCGGGCAGCTGGGTTCGGACGTGCCCTCCGTGCCCGGCCGGCTTCCCGCGCTTGCCATCGGCATCGTGGTCGGTGCGTCTTCCCTCCGCAGAGCCGGGCTGTGTGGGTGCCATGTCTGTGGCAGCGCTGGCGGGAGCACCGGCACGGCGTGGGGGACGCCCTGCTCCTGCCAGAGCCCGGCCCCGTGACCGGGGATGCTCCGTGCTCCCGTGGCCACGGGCGCCGCGTCCTCCCGCCTCCGCTGCTGGCCTGCTCGCACCTTGGCTTGCTCTGCGGCCGGGGGGGGCTGGTGCCGGAGGAGGGGTGGGTCCGGCCGCCTGCGGTGGGCGCAGCTGGAGGCAGGTCCCCCAGCGCTGGGTGCACACAGGCCCCCCGCCCGTGTTTCCTTTCCGGATGGATTTCCTGTTTTCGGCTGTGGGGCCCGGTGCGGAGACGCCCGGGGTGGGGTGTGCTGGGGCGGGGAGCGGGGCCACAGAGGTGTGGGGGTCCTGCCCGGGGCAGGAGGGGGCTGCTCTCCGTGCCGGCCGTCACCCCTGGCGGGGCAAGGGCTGGGGCTGCCTGTCAGTGGGGCACTCAGATCGCTGCTCGCAGGGAGCGTCCCGGCGGCTCTGCCGGCAGCCAGTGCTTCCCCTGGGGCTGGCCGATGGCCCCCGCAAGCCGGGTCCCCTGCTCAGCCCTGGGGAGGGTTGTCCCAGGGGGCTGGTGGGGCTCCGGGGGGTGCTGGGCAGCACCATCCTGCTGCCTGTGGAGGGGAGGGGGCAGCTGCTGCTGGCCGGGGGGCCCGGGAGCCGCCTGAGCAGGGGCCATTCCCCCTCCCAGGAGCTGGCTGGCATGGAGGCAGGTCCTGGTGCTTGGCCGGCGCCCCGGAGCAATCTGGCAGTGAGAGGATGCAAACAGCTCCTGCATCTGAGCTGGGGAAAATAGCCTCTGTGCGAGGATGAGCGGGGTCAGCCTTCGGTGGTGGCAGCGAGGCTGCGGGTGCTGCTGCCCACCAACTGCCCCCAGCTCGGGAGGGCGTCTGCTACCGGGACACCAGGACCCGGCCGGCTCTAACGGGGGGCCGAGGGCTGGGGCTGGTCCCCCTTGTCCCCGTTGCCTTGGGCCGGGGCTGCCTGGCCCCACGGGGGCAGATCCGGACCCTTTGGGGTCGCGCACGGGGATGTGCTTGCCCAGGCAGCCGGCCGGCTCTGCAGCAGCCCCGCGTGGGAGGTGTGGAAGCTCTCGGGGTGCCAGAGGGGGACACCCCTCACCCCCAACCTGGGCAGATGGTCAGGACCTGCCTCTGCTGGAGACACCACCAGATTAGAGGTGACTCACCATAATCTTGAAGAAGTGGATTAAATCTCCTCCTGCTGCACTACTTAATGAAATCCATCCCGTAATATGCTCGGGGCCCTGCTGTTTCCGAGGGGCCGGGCTGGCGCAGGGCTGTGGGCAGAGCGTGGGGTGCAGGCGGCACACAGCCCGTTCCCCGGGTGGCCCCATCTGGGCAGCCGCAGCCACAGGCTCTGTGGGATGGGGCCGTGTCCACGCTCGTCCCCAGCGTGCGGCACTTGCAGGTGGCTGTCCTGCACCACGCCTCGGCAGACGGAGTGGGGGGGTCTGGCTGGGGCCCCCCGGGAGCAGCTCTGCCCGTGCATCACCTCAGGGCCCCCTGGGCATCCTCGCATCCCGCTGCCGCAAGCCCGGGGTCGGTGCCCAGGGCGCAGGGGGAGGCGTGAGGGGCCGTGGCATGGGTCCCTCCGTGGGGAGGGGGCTGCTGGGGGCACAGACTGGTCCTGCCAGGCGCCTGTTTTCCCCTGGTGTCCCCAGGCTGGGGAGACGGGGACCGTGCCGGGCTGCCCGTGCGTGGCCGTGCCTCCGAGGGTGAGCGAGTGGCGGGGAAGGAGCCGGCTCAGGGCCGGGAGCAGGAAGGAAGGAAGGAAAGCGGAGTTAAAATAAGCCAGGCAGCGAGTCGTGGGGGAGGCCAGGGCTGCAGCCAGCTCCCAGCCTCTGGGGACAGGGTCGGACTGGGGCAGACTGGGCTCTGCATGGTGCTGGGGCGCACTGGGGCACTGGGGCTGGGCTGGGGAGAGCGTGTGGCCCCGTCCCTGACGGCTCTGCCCCTTCTCCCGCCCTGGCAGGATGGGTCCCGGCAGCGGCTGCCGCACAAGAAGAAGACGGTGTCCTTCAGCACCATGCCCAACGACCGCAAGATCAACAGCACGGCCGCCTGCATCTCCTTCATGCTGGAGGGCTGCGAGCTGAAGAAGGTGCGCTCCAACTCCCGCATGTACAGCCGCTTCTTCGTGCTGGACGCCGACATGCGCTCCGTGCGCTGGGAGCCCTCCAAGAAGGACTCGGAGAAGGCCAAGATCGAGATCAAGTCGGTCAAAGAGGTGCGCGTGGGCAAGAAGACGCCCGTCCTGCGCAGCAATGGCCTCTCCGACCAGTTCCCGGACGAGTGCGCCTTCTCCATCATCTATGGAGACAACTACGAGTCCCTGGACCTGGTGGCCAGCTCGGCCGACGTGGTGAGCGCCTGGGTGATGGGGCTGCGGTACCTGGTGTCCTACGGGAAGCACACCCCCGAGGCGCCCGGGACCGGCCATCCCAGCCTCCGGACCTCCTGGGTCTCCTCCGTCTTTGACCTCGCCGACCTGGAGAAGTCTGGCCGCATCCCCGTGTCCCGGGCCGTGCAGCTGATCAAGGCGCTCAACCCAGGCATGAAGACCTCCACCATCGAGCTGAAGTTCAAGGAGCTGCAGAAGGCCAGCGAGCGTCCCGGGGCGGAGGTGGCCTGCGACCTTTTTGTGGAGGCGTACTGCGAGCTCTGCACCCGCCCCGAGATCTTCTTCCTGCTGGTGCAGTTCTCCAGCAACAAGGAGTACCTGGGCCTGAAGGACCTGCTGATGTTCCTGGAGGTGGAGCAGGGCATGGAGGGGGTGACGGAGGAGAAGTGCTTGGAGATCGTCGGCAAGTACGAGCCCTCCAAGGAGGGCCGGGAGAAGGGCTACCTGGCCATCGACGGCTTCACGCGCTACCTGCTCTCCTCCGACTGCTCCATCTTCGACCCGCAGCACCGCAAGGTGTGCCAGGACATGGCGCAGCCCCTCTCCCACTACTACATCAGCTCTGCCCACAGCGCCTGCCTGCTGGAGGACAACTTCTGGGGCCGCTCCGACATCAGCGGCTACATCAGCGCCCTGGGCCTGGGCTGCCGCAGCATCGAGCTGGTGCTGTGGGACGGCCCCGAGGGCGAGCCCGTGGTCTACACCAGCCCCTCGGCTGCCTCCTGCGTGCCCTTCCGCGCCGTGGTGGGGCTGATCGACCAGCACGCCTTCGCCGCCTCCGCCTACCCCCTCATCCTCTGCCTGGTGGTGCGCTGCTCGGCCCCCCAGCAGCGCCTCGCTGCCCAGTGCCTGCGCAAGACGCTGGGGGAGAAGCTCTACCTGGAGCCCCCCAACCCCGCCGCGTCCTACCTGCCCTCCCCGGAGCAGCTCAAGGGCCGCATCCTCATCAAGGGCAAGAAGCTGCCGCCCGGCTGCGAGGACAGCGAGGGGGAGGTGTCGGACGAGGAGGAAGGCTGGGAGCTGGCGCGGCGGCTGGGCCAGGAGGACCGGGAGGTGCCGGAGGGAGGTGGCCCGCGGCGGGTGCGCCTCAGCCGGGAGCTCTCGGAGCTGGTGAGCCTCTGCCAGGCCGTCCCCTTCCAGGACTTCGAGAGCTCGCGGCGCGGGCAGCGCTACTGGGAGATGTGCTCCTTCAGCGAGGTGGAGGCGGGACGCTTCGCCAACGAGTGCCCGGCCGAGCTGGTGAGCTACAACAAGCGGTTCCTCTCCCGCGTCTACCCCAGCCCCATGCGCATCGACGCCAGCAACATGAACCCCCAGGACTTCTGGAAGTGCGGCTGCCAGATGGTGGCCATGAACTACCAGACGCCGGGGCTCATGATGGACCTGAACACAGGCTGGTTCCAGCAGAACGGGGCCTGCGGCTACGTCCTCCGCCCTGCCATCATGCGGGAGGAGGTCTCCTACTTCAGTGCCAACGCCAAGGACTCCTTGCCCGGGGTGCCCGCCCAGCTCCTGCACCTCAAGGTCATCAGCGGGCAGAACCTGCCCAAGCCCAAGGGCTCGGGGGCCAAGGGGGAGGTGGTGGAGCCCTACGTCTGCGCCGAGATCCACGGCATCCCAGCCGACTGCGCCGAGCACCGCACGAAGACGGCCCTGCAGAGCGGGGACAACCCCGTCTTCGACGAGAGCCTGGAGTTCCAGATCAACCTGCCGGAGCTGGCCGTGCTGCGCTTCGTCGTGCTCGATGATGACTACATCGGGGACGAGTTCATCGCCCAGTACACCATCCCCTTCGAGTGCCTGCAGCCCGGCTACCGCCACGTCCCCCTCCAGTCGCTGGCTGGGGAGCCCCTGCCCCACGCCACCCTCTTCGTGCACGTGGCCATCAGCGACCGCCGCGGCGGGGGCAAGGGGCACCGCCGGGGGCTGGCGGGGCGCCGGGGCCGCCGGGTGCGGGAGTACACCTCCACCAAGGCCACCGGCATCAAGGCCATCGACGAGGTCTTTCGGACGGCCACCCAGCCGCTGCGGGAGGCCACCGACCTGCGGGAAAACGTGCAGGTACGGACCCCGCGGGGGCACCGGGGTGCAGGGGGGGACGGGGCCGAGCAGCGGGGAGCCCAGACGTCCCCCCCCGCCTCTTCCCGGGGGATGCGGGTGAGGAGCCTCGTCCGGAGCAGAGAGCTGGGGCAAACGGGGATGTCCCCAGCGCGGGGGCTCTTGGGGGCCCTCCCAGGCTGAGCCCCCGCCGCCGGTCTCTGCCCGCAGAACGCGCTGGTCTCCTTCAAGGAGCTGTGTGGGCTGACGCCCGCCGCCAACATGAAGCAGTGCATCCTGACCGTGGCCGCGTGGCTGCTGCACAGCGACAGCGCGCCCAGCGTCACCCTCAACCTGGCAGAGCAGTACCCGCCCATGGAGGCCCAGGGCCCCATCCCGGACCTGCTGCGCAAGGTCCTCACCGCCTACGAGACGGTAAGCGCCGTCCCGCCGCGGCTCGGCTCCTCGCGGGGACGCTCCCCGGGGCCGGCGGCACCGGGACCACGGCGGGGGGGGGGGACCCCGAACTCGCTGCACCCACCCTGGTGCAGGGGGAGGCTGCTGGGGGGCTGCCCAGGGAGGAACCTTGCCTCGGTGGGAGCCCTGGGACCCCGCAGCCCCTGCCCCCCTGCCCGTGCTGCCTGCACCCTGCGCCGGGGCTGGCTGGCGGGGCATCCTGCGGTCCTGCCTGGTGGGAGAATTCCCATTAATAGCCGCAGCCGGAGCCGCTTCCTTCCTTTGTGTTGGAGGGGGACCTGGCCGCCGGCCAGGCGCTGGTGATACCACACCTGGCTGCCGCCCGAGCCCCTTCTCCCCATCCGCTCTGCTGGGGGGTGCGTGGGGGCCGGGGGCTGCCCAGCTCCTCATGCCGCCCCTCTCCCCCCCCCCCCAGATGATCCAGACCAGCCGGACGCTGATCGAGTCCGCCGACGCGGTGTATGGCAAACTCATCCAGGCACAGCAGGCAGGTGGGTGCCGGGAGGGCAGGCCCAGCCCTGGCGCCGCTCCGTGCCGCAGACTGGGGTACAGCCCTGGGGGGGCCGGGGGGGCCATGCCTCTGCGCTGGGCTAGGGGGCACGCGTCCCCGCAGGACTCGGTTCAGGGGGGTCTGGCACCAGGCTCCGGAGCTGGGCACAGGCACAGCCAAGCGTGCCGGCGGTTTTGGCCGTGCCCTTGCACACCCGTGGTGCGATGAGGGGTGCGTGTCTGCACCCCGGCCGGGTGCGCGCCGGGGCTGCAGTTCAGCGGCAGAGCAGCCAGGGCTGTCTGGCCGGGGGAGAGCGATTTCTGGCTGGGGTGGCCCCGAGCCCGGCTCTGCGGTTTTCCCGTGTCCCAGCAGCGTGGGGTGGGCGCGGGAGGCTGCCTGGGGCTGGGTGCTGCCGGGGTGCTGGGGCTGGGTGCTGCCGGGGCAGGGTGCTGGGTGGGTGGGCTGCGGGGGACGGAGGGGAGGGAGGGAGGGGAGCGGAGGAGGCTGATGAGGAAGCAAGGAAGAGTCATTAGCTGCTGAACGCCAGAATATAATTAGCACCAGAAATAACAGGCTGGGGCTGACGGTAGAAGTGGCAACTGAGTGTTACGACTTCCAAGACACATGGCTGAACCCACACAGGCAGGTGCTGCCTGCCCCGGCCCTCCCTCTCCATCCTGCCCCTCCCCAGCTGCCCGGGACCCCCGGCCCTGCTCCCGGCACCGACGGCAGCGCGGCCCCTCTGAGGGCTGGGACCCCACAGGGCTACCCCTGGGCGCACGGGGGGCTGCTGGCCCGGGGGCTCCCGTGGGGTCCCCGCGGGGCTGGGGGAGCTGCCAGGAGGCGGAGGGGCCGGGGCGGAAGGAGCGGGCCCCGCTCTGCCACCCCCAGCCGGTACCAGCCTCGCTGCCAGCAGCCCTGTTTGTTCCCTGCCTGCGCGGCAGCCCGGAAATCTCCCCGAGCTCTTGGCTTTGGGCTCCGCTGCCGCTGCCAGCGCCGGGGGGAGCGGTGGCGGCGGGGGGGAAGGGGCTGCAGGACTGGGGTGCGGGGCTCGGGGTGGGCTCCGCGCCCTCCTGTGATGCTTTGGCTGTGGGAGCCCCGCTGCTGTGCTGTTGGGGGGGGGGGGGGGTCGTGGGGCAGAGGGGCTCTGGGGTGTGCAACCGCTGCTGCTGCCCCTGCCTGACCCCTCGAGGCTCTGGCAGGCAGCGGTTTGGGGGGCTGCAGCCCCCACCCCCGTTCCCGGGGTGCTGCCTGTCCCTGCTTTCGCCCCGGCTGCGCTGCCAAGCCCCTGCAGTGCCGGCCCGGCCCGTGCCCGGCTGGCGGGTGCTGCGGGGTCCAGGGGGGTGCGGGCTGCGGACGGGGGTGTGGGGCTGGGGGCGTGCTGATTGACAGCGCGTGGGCGAGCAGGCTTGCGTGGGAGCCCTCGCGTGGGCCCGGAGCCGGTGCTGCGTCAGGAGGGGTAAATATAGCACCCGCTCACGAGGACGTCAGGCAGTGCACGGCGCGGGGGCCCGCGCTCCGGCGGGGGGGGGGCCTGGTGGCCCCTCTCTGAGCGCCCCGGGTGAGCCAGGGCGTGCACGAGCCATGCCTCTGCCTGGGGTCATCGCTGCCCGTTCAGCCCCAACGGCCTCCGGGGCCCAAAGCTGCCAAGGGCTGGGGCCGAGCGCGGTGCCGGGGGCTCCCTTAGCCCGTCGTTCCTGGCGCGGGGTGGGGGGGGGCTCGGGGCTGCTGGGGCCGTGGGGAGCCCACCCAGCCTGCACCCCGTCCCTCTGGCTCGGCCCCTGTCCCCGCACCCGCTGAGCGCTGCTCCCGCCTGCCAGGCATGGATTTCCACAAGGAGCTGCACCGCATCGAGGCCAAGGAAGGGCTGCGGGGCCGCAAGTTGCAGAAGGCTCTGGAGAGCTTCGCCTGGAACATCACCGTGCTGAAGGTGAGGGGCGAGGGCTGCTGGAGCCCTCCCCGCACCCGGGGGATGCTCCGTGGGCGCGGGGGGTGACCCGGGCCGGGGTGGGGGGGGCGGAGCAGTGCCTGCGCCCCACGACGCTCCGTGCGGGGTGTCCGGGCAGCCCGAGTGCCGCGGCCCCGGGGCCGGTCCCTGACGCCCTCATCCCCGCGCAGGGCCAGGCCGACTTGCTCAAGCACGCCAAGGCGGAGGCGCTGGACAACCTGTGGCAGATCCACAACGCGGGACAGTCCTGCGGCATCGGCAGGAACGGCTCGGCCTCGCCGGAGCCCTCCCGGCTGCGCGCCACGCTGGAGCCCATCCCTGAGACGGAAGGAGGGGGTGACACGGCGTCCTGCTGACCCCGGCCTGGGGCTCGGGGGACCGGACTGAGCACCCCCCGGCCGCAGGGACCAGGACCAGGGAGCCCCAGCCTGCCCACAGATGGGCAGCTGCCTGGGGGGATGCGTGCGGGGCTGGGTGCCTGTGCTCCGCCGTGACAAGGGGCTGTGGCAGGGCCTGGCGCGGAGGTTGGGGAGGGGTGTCCCTGCTCCTGCTTGCCAGTCCCCCCCTCCGTGAGCTCCCAGGGCCTCATCCATCCCCCCCATCTGCTTCTGGAGCCAGCGCCCTGCCGCGGGGCTGGTGTGGGTGCTGGCACCCTGGTGCCTGTGTGCATGTACCCCCGGCCTGCGGTGCCAGACTCCTCTTGTAAAAGCAGCCCCAGGCCTGGTCTCCTGCCCCCATCCAGGGCCATGGGTTTTGCCTTCGCCAGCCCCGGGGAAAACCTGGCAGGAAGGGTCCTGGCCAGTCCCTGTCCCGTCTCCACAGGGCAGTGGGTTCCTTCCCCTTCCTGGCCTCCACTGTGCAGAGGGGCTGGGAGACTTTGGGGTGCAGCAGGTGAGGGGGGGGGCTGCTGCAGACCAGCCTGGGCAGCAGATGTGGCTTCTGGCATCAGGGAAACATCGGGGCTCATCCCCCAGGGTGAGGGGGTCCCGGCGCAAGCAATGGTCGAGGGGCGGTCTGGGGTCGGACCGTGGCTGCGGAGCATTATAAAGAGTGCGAGACCCAACCTGGTGCCCTGGTGCTCCCTCCGCACGCCTGGCGTGGGGCAAAGGCCGGATGGGGTCACCAAAGGGGAGCGAGGGTGGCACTGGGGATGGGGACCCTGACGGCACCATCCCCCTCCTGGCACCAGCCGAGCGCAGGGCGATGGCTCCCCACGTCAAGGAGCCATGCGGCTACCCGGCACCCCTTTGTTCGGGGAGGTAATTAGCCTAATGGGGCCACGGGGAGCCGACCCGCACGCTGTCGGGAGCCGGCCAGCGCCGACCTTCAGCCCTTTTGTGCCGGCCGGGCCGCGGGGCACGCGGGCAATTACGGCCTCATTAGTGCCACTCGCCCCATCCACCGCGCCCGGCCGGTGAGCACCCACACAATGAGGAGCTGCAAATGAGGGGAAAGGCCTGGCCGGTCTCCGAGCTACCGGCCACAGCGCGCCCGCGTCTCCCAGAGACCGGCTGCTCCCGCCTGGCCCCGACGGTATTTTTGGCAGCACTATTGTGCCGGGCACTATAAAGCGGTGGCTGCAGTGCTGGGCGCTGCGCTCTTGGCTGCCCGGCGGGACATGCCCCAGCGCCGCTCGGCTGCCTGAGGACCCCGGGAAGGATGGAGGTGCCCAACGCCAAGGTGGGGCTGGGGCACCACAGGCCGTGGGGCCGGGAGGGCAGCGATAGGGGAGAGGACAGGATGTGGGGCCGGGGGTCTGGGGGTGCGGGAGGGCCTGGCTGGTTCCCCGTGAAGCCCCAAGCGTGCGGCTCCTCCCCAGGGCTCCCCAGCTGTGGCCAGCAGTCAATCGGGGGGGGCTCAGCCCCGCGTGGGCTCCTCGGGGGGGGAGCTGGGTGCGTGGCGCCTGCGGTGTCGAGCGTGGGTGCTCCCGCTGGTGGTCCTGTGGCGCTCGGCAGCCAGGGGAGGGTGTTTTCCACGGCTGCCTTGTGCCAGCGCAGGGCAGGCGTGCTGGGGAGGGCACCCGAATCTGGCTGCGGGTCAGAGAGTGGGTGGGGGGCCTGTGGTCACTGGGGCCAGGGGGAGCACTCCCAGCTCCCCTGGGGGTGCGGTGCTGGGTGCGCCCCAGGGCGCTGAAGGGGGATGCTCTGGGTGCACCCCGGGTGTGGGGCTGGACCCCCGCAGCGGCAGGGACGAGCAGGCAGCGCTGCAGCAACCAGGGCAGACGGGAGCTGAGCCTGCAGCCGGCACGGTGGGAGCGGGGGGCAGCCCCCCCCCCCCTCCCCAGCACTGCCTAACGCTGCCCGCTGCTCCGGCAGCTCCAGCGAGCTGCCTGCCTCCTGCTGCTGCTCCTGCTCTGCTCCCTGGCTGCTGCTCGGCAGAGTCTGCCCGAGTGCTGCCGGCAGAAGACCTGCTCCTGCCGCATTTACGACCTCCTGCACGGCATGGGCAACCACGCCGCCGGCATCCTCACGCTGGGCAAGAGGAAGAGCGTCCCGCCGGCCTTCCAGAGCCGGCTCTACCGCCTGCTGCACGGCTCCGGCAACCACGCCGCCGGCATCCTCACCATGGGCAAGCGCGGGGAGCGGCACCCTGGCACCGCCTGCCACGACGCCTCGGGCTGCCCCGCGGGCACGGACGCCCAGCCGACGCCGGGGCTGCGGGGTGCTGACACCAGCCCTGCCAGCCCCGGCGAGTGCCAGGGACACGCGGGGAAGGAGCTGAGCAAGAGCCAGGCCCAGGGAGCTGCCAAGGGCTTTTACTGAGCGAGGGGGGGGGGGCAGTGGGAGCAGAGAGGTGACCCCTGGGGGGACGGAGCCCGGGGACACGCAGCGCGGTGTAAATAGCGCTTTTACATACCTCCTCCTGGCCCCGGCCGAGCCTGCTCAGGGCACCGCAGGCACCGCTGGCCTTTTACAATAAATGGTAGCCTGATGTTACCTGCCTCTGCCTTCTCTCTGGGGAGGGGCTGGGGGGGCACAGCTCTGCCCCGGGGCAGCCGGTGAGGTTGGTACCTTCCTCCGTGGGGCCTGGGCGTGGGCTCATCCGTCCTGCCCGTGCTGGGGGGGGGGCACAGGCCCAGCTGTGTGGGTGCAGGACGGGAACTGGGGTGAACCGAGCTGCCCGGGAGCAGGGTGTGTTTGTGAAGCCCCCGAAAAAGGGCTCAGAGCATCCCCCAGCACAGCACCACGGAGCCTCTGGTGACCTTCTCGTGGTCACGGGTGCCTGATCTCCACCCCCCCCCCCACTCCCACCCCCTGCCCCTGCGCAGGGTGCTGGGGGGGGCTCCGCCTGGGCCCTGGCACCCTGGGTGCCCCTCCGGGGGTCCCGCGGGGCACGGCCTTGCCTTGCAGCCCCCGGGGCTGAGCCCCAAGCACCGGGGCCGGTGTCCCACCGCATCAGGCCCCCCCTCCCCGGGCACGCCGGGTCCGGCCCCTCCCGGTGCCCAGCAGGTCCCGACGCCACCAGCCCGGTGCCCCCCGGGACACAGCGACCTGCCCCCCGGGCCGGGGCCGGGGCCGGTGCCGGTGCCGAGGCCCCTCCCGGTGCCGGCGGCGCGCAGGGCCCGGGGCGGGGCGGGGGCGGGATCAGCCCGCGGCTCCGGGGCCGAACCTGCAGAGGGGCCCCGGGGCGGCGGCGGAGCCCCCCCGGCGGCGGCAGCCCGGCGGGACCATGCCGGTGATGAAGGGGCTGCTGGCGCCGCAGAACACCTTCCTCGACACCATCGCCACCCGCTTCGATGGCACACGTAGGGCCGGGGGGCGGGGGGGCCACGCTGGGCGCGGGGTGGCCCCAGCGGGGGGAGGCGCTGCCCCCCGGGAAACGGCGGGGGGGGCCCGGGGCTCGGCCCCCGCGGCTGGGCGGGACGCGACCGGCCGCGCTCTGCGTTGTCCCGGGGACGCCCACCCCCGGGTCCGTGTCCGTGTCCGGGATCGGTGCTCCGGGCCCCGTCCCCCCCCCCACGCCGTGTGCCGGGCGGCCCCCGCCGTGCCCGACCCCCCCCCCCCACGCTCGGTGCCGGCGCGGCCGCGCTCAGCACCAGGGACAGAGCCCGGGCGCGGCGGGAGGGGCCGGGGGGGCCCGGGAGATGGGGGGGCCCTGGGGGGATCGGGGCGCGGGGGGTGGCCGGGGATGGGGCCCCGGGAGATGGGGGGGCCCGGGAAGGGGTCCCGGGCGTGGCTGCCCTGGACCCCCCGGTCTCGGCTTTGCCCCATCCCGTGCCCGAGCGGTGGCCGGTCCCGGGACACACGCACACACACACGCACGTGTGGGTTGTGCCTGACCCCACGGGGCGTGGGGGTCGGGGTGCTGCCCTGAGGAGACCCCGGAGCCGGGGGGCGGCCGTGGGGCGCAGCCGGTGCCTGTCCCCTCTGCGGCACGCAGCACAGCCGCGACTGGCACGGCGGGGCCCTTGGGGAGGCCGGGGGCTGCCCCCCCAACCCCCCGTTAGCAAAGTGCCCGCTCGCTGGGGTCCCGTCCCTGGAAGGGTGGGGACCGGTAGCGCAGCGTTTTGGCGGGGGTGGGGAGCGGGGCCTGTGCTGTCCCAGCACCGTCCGTTTTGGGGTCCCTTCCCACGGCTGGAGGTGCTGCTGGCGTGTCCCCCGGCGCTGGGCTGCCCTCCGTGTCCACGTCCATGTGCTGGGGCCAGGACGCTTAAAGCCCTGGCACATTGTGGGGGGGGATCGTGCTGGGATGCCACGTTCCAGCTCGCAGCACTGCTGGCACTATGCGTGTTCGGGGGTGACCCCAGGCCTCCCCCAAAATCACCCGGAGCAGGGGCCTCCCAGGCCAGCTGCCTGCGGGGCTGGGCACCTCTCACCTTGCTGGGAGGGACCAGCATGAAGATGGCACTGGGGGCCTGCAGCCACCTCCCACCGCACCATCGGGGCACCAGGAGCACCCCCGGGGCACGTGTCGGCTGCGATGCCGGGCTGGCTCCTGGCCTGGTGCGATGCGCAGCGCCCCAGGTGACACCGGGTGTTGGCTGCCCACAGGAGCTCTCGTTTGGGGTGCTGCCTTCGAGGCTGCGACGCGTAAGGAGGCAGCCAGCCCCCTGAGCCTTCCCCAGCTCAGCCCGAGCTACGCCCAGAGGTGCCCGGGCAGAGCCGCATGTGCCTCGCGCTGGTGATGCTATGGCTGTTCCTCCGCAGGGGCAGAGGATCCCCAGGGCCGGATCTGCCCCTCTGAGGAGAAGGGACCCCAGGGGAGCTGCCTGCAACACCCTGACTCAAAGCCCTGAGTATTTGCCCCGGGGAGACAGGATTTGTCCTGCAGCAGCCTGGCAGCATCCTGCCTTCAGCTGCACCAACCCGCCTTCTGGGCACGTTTAAAGGGTGTTTGGCTTTTCGGGTTTGATTGTCTCTTATCAGCTTTATCTGCCATGGAGAGGGGCTTTAGCCACAGCGACACACCGTGCGAGTTAACCCTGCCTCTCCCAGGCAGCTGCTGCCTGCTGGGCCCGAGGGTGCCCACCCAGGCAAGCTGGCCACTGTGGCAGGGGGCTGCTGAGCCCCCCGGGGCCGCATCCCCCTGCTCAGCAGAGCTGCTCCCAAATGCAAGCCCTTTTTTCTCTTTTCTAATAACACATCCTGGACAATGCCGGAATCCTGGCTCCCCAGAGCCAAAATCTGTCCTTAGTCACAGCTTCAAGCTATTTTTGCTTCTCCAAGCTAATCCTGGGCTGCGCTGTGCTGCGGTGGCCCCGCTGCACCCCCATCGCACCGGCGCTGCTGTCCCCTCCTTCCCGCAACCTCCTCTGCCCTTCCCTGCCCCAGCGCAGCTCTGCTCTTGGTGCGTGGGTGCCGTGACCTGCTGTGGGGTCCCCTCCTTCGCTGTGCGAGGGGGCAGGACCACGTCTGTCTGCTCCTGGTGCCTGGGCCGTGGGGGCACAGGGGTGCTGGGCTGGGGACCCACAGGCTGGTGACCGTGTCGGGACTGGGGACAGCCTGGTCTGCCCTCGCCCGTGCTGGCCGCACATCCCGCTTCCTTCGGACCCTTTTAGCACGAGGCCATCTGTCCTGCTGGCAAGGAGCTGCTGCAGCCCCCGGGCACAGAGCCCCTGCCCAGCCCATGGCTGGGGGGCCGGGGAGGTGAAAGCGGCTGCTCTGCAGCTGGGCAGGGCAAGGGCTTTCCGCTGCCCTGGTGCCACCTCCCCGCCGGGGCAAGGCTGACACTGGGGAGGCTCCAGGGTGCTGCGGCAGACCAAGGACTCTGCATTTCCCCTTCACGGGGCCCTCGACTCACGGCTTTTCTCCCACCCTCCTGGTGGGTGCCCCCGCGGTGCCACACTGGGGGCTGGAGGTCCCAGCACCGCAGCCCAGCACCTCTGGGCCGGCAGCACCCAGCCGGGTTTGACGCTGCTCCCGCTGAGCTGCCTGAGCCCCGGCGGGCGGTGGGAGCAGCAGATGGTGAGGGGGAGGCGTGAATTGCCTCGCTCGGGATCGCCCCTCGGCCGACGGGAGCTGGATCTGGGCTCTTTCCCTGTCCAGTGCACGGGGCTGGGGTCCTGCCCAGGCCAGAGCCCCGGGGGTGGCAGGGCAGGGGATGGGTGAGCTCGGGGAGCAGCTGGGGGCTGCGCTCCCCTCCGTGCCCCCCCAGGGCAGCCCTGAGCCCTCAGGGGCGGCTGCGTCTCCTTTCAGACAGCAACTTCATCCTGGCCAACGCACAGGTCCGCCGCGGCTTCCCCATCGTCTACTGCTCCGACGGCTTCTGCGACCTCACCGGCTTCGCCCGCACCGAGGTCATGCAGAAGAACTCCTGCTGCCGGTTCCTCTACGGGGCCGAGACCAGCGAGCCCGTCCTGCAGTGCATCGAGAAGGTGCTGGACGGCAGGCAGGAGTACCAGACCGAGGTCTGCTTCTACAAGAAGGGTGGTGAGTGGTGCAGGGGGCCGGGTCGCTGCCCACGGCTCCGGCTGGGGCTCGGCCTCGTGCCAGCCGTGGGGTGAAGCCGCCGAGCGGCGTGGGGGCTGTCCTGCCTTCACCATCCCTCTCCACGCAGGAGCTGCCTTCTGGTGCCTGCTGGACATCATGCCCATCAAGAACGAGAAGGGGGAGGTGGTGCTCTTCCTCTTCTCCTTCAAGGACATCACAGAGAGCCGGGGCAGGAGCCACCTGGGTGAGAAGGAGGGTGAGCTGTGGCTGTGGGATGGGGACAGCATTCGGGGAGTGGTGTGCACGGTGGGCAAATGGCAAAGGGGGTCCCAGTTCCCTGCTGGGTCCTGCCCACCTTTGTGCGCTCGTGCAAGGAAGGGTCCCCGAATTGGCCCCTGCTCTGTGGCGTCAGCAGCGGCACAGTGCTCCCACTAACCCAGCGTGTCTTGTCCGCTGCAGAGAAGCAGAGAAGTAGGAAGCCCGGGAGCTCACACCTGCAGGCAGCGCGGAGGCAGGGCCGGACGGTGCTGCGCCGGCTCAGCAGTCAGTTTGCCCGGAGGGACCGCAGCGAGATGAAAGTCAACGGCGTAAGGACCTGGGGGAACCCTCAGCTTCACCCAGCCCCTCCCCGGGCTGGGGCTGCGGGCAGGCTGGCAGGGCTGCAGCTCTCCCGGGACCAGCCCTGCAGCAGAGCCCCGTCTCACCAGGATGCTGTTCCTGTGCACGCACCTCAGCAGCCTCCCCAGGCACTGAAATGCCCTCCAGCCCCGGCAGCCGCACCGTGGTCCAGGCTGCAAATGCAGTTTGTTGGCAGCAGGAGAGAGACCAGTGGGTGCCCAGTGCTTGCTGAGGGGAGAACAGATCCTCCGGCAGCTCTGGCAGGGTGTGCCTCTCCTCACACGTTGGCTGCCAGGAGAACCCAGCCACTCGCTCGCAGCAGAGCCGTGCCGGCCCTGGGGAGCACCGTTACCAGGCTGCGAGCAGCGTGGCTTCCAGCAGCAGCAGGGACCGGCGCCGTCCCTGTGCCAGCCCCTTGGGGTGGTCGCGGTGCCCCGGCGCAGGGTCCCGGCCACAGCTGCTGCCACGGGCACTGCCTGCAGACGTGGGGCCAGGGCGGGCGTCTGTCACCGGCCCACACTGGGGGGCTCAGAGCTGGCAAGCAGGCAAAGTGTGCCAGTCTTGCATTTCGGGGACTTGGGTGGGAAGGACCCGGCTGTCCCCTCGCCCAGACCGGAGTCTCGCTGCCCCCGGCAGCTCCGTGTCCCTGCGGAGGGTGGGGGTGGCTCTGCCCCAGCACGCGAATTGGCACCTGAGATGGTTCTGGGCCGCAGCTGGCAGTGCCAGTGGATTACTGTTAATAGCATTAGCACAGCGTTAATTTATGTGCCGTAATCAGGCATTCTGGGCCCATCGCTGAGGGTGACCTTAGCGCAGCCCATGGAAAAGTGCATCCATCACCGTGGCATCACAGGGGTGCCAGCCGGGCTGGCAGGAGTTGGGGAGGGGGGGCTGCAGTGACCCCTTGTGCGGGTGTCCCCCGCACCATCCATGTGCCACCCTGCAACTTGCTCCCCCCAGACCGTGTTTGAGAACAAGCCGTCTGTCCCCGAGTACAAAGTGGCCTCGGTGCAGAAGTCCCGCTTCATCCTGCTCCACTACAGCACCTCCAAGGCCCTCTGGGACTGGCTGATCCTGCTGGCCACCTTCTACGTGGCTGTCACCGTCCCCTACAACGTCTGCTTCACGGGCACGGAGGACAACCTCTCGGCTGCCCGCAGCACCATCGTCAGCGACATCGCTGTGGAGATGCTCTTCATCCTGGGTAGGTCCGTGCCCGGGGCGAGCACCCAGCGGGGATGGGGGTCGTGGCTGGTGGGGCAGGGCTGCGGCCAGAGGAGCGGGGAACTGGCATCGCTTCGCCCCTGCTGCTGGTGCCGAGCTCCCCACGGGTGGGACCCAGGTCGGCTGCGGCCCCTGGCCCAGCTCCCCCGGCCACGGCGGGCGCGGCGAGGGCTGGCCCTGCTCTCCCCCGGGCAGACATCATCCTGAATTTCCGGACGACGTACGTGAGCCAGTCGGGCCAGGTGGTGTACGACCCCCGCTCCATCTGCATCCATTACGTGGCCACCTGGTTCTTCGTGGATCTGATCGCCGCTCTGCCCTTCGATCTGCTCTACGTCTTCAACGTGACCGTGGTGAGCGGCCGCTCGCGCCGCGGGCGGGGGGCGGTGTTAGGGGGTCGGCGGCCCCTTTCACAGGGATCCGCTCCTCGCACGCCCGTCTGGGAGCGGCGCGGGCAGCGAGGGGAAGTGGCGATGGCAGCTATAGCGGGAAGCCTCCCACGCACCTTAATTTAACCAGAGGCTGCCACAAACGACAGTAACTGCCAAGGCACCGCTCCAGGAGCTGCAGGCAGGTGCCTGCCCTGCACCCAGCACCCAGCACCCAGCACGCCTGTGCTCTGCTCAGGGCACAGAGCTGCTCTGAGCGGCTCCACGTCCGCTTGCAAATACTGTGAGCACACACAGCCCACCTCGCAGCAAGGGGCACTTGCAGGCTGCCCGCCCTGGCAGGGGGTGACCACGCGTGCAGGCACACAGGACACATGTTGGTGACGAGGGCAGGTCCCAGATGAGCCTCCCCAGGCTCTCAGGGGGCCCCGCAGCACAGCGGGTGTGATGGCACCAGCCCCTTCCCATCCTCCGCTAATTGGGGCAGGGAGGAAGGAGGCTGTAATTACGCTTATTGGAGACAGAGCAACGTGCAGGGAGGACGAGGGCACTTGGGGCTGGAACTTCCCCCCCGAGCCAAACCCGGCTCCGTTTGTACCCTGGCAGGAAAATGACTGTGGCTGAGGTGGGGGCACATAGGGCAGCCCTGGCAGGGACCCTCTGCCAGGTGGGACCAGGGAGCGTCTGCTCGAGCACAGCCCCTGCCCTGTGCCCCTGCCCGGCCCGTGGCTCCTGCGAGGTGCCCGGTGTGGCGCAGGCAGGGGGCAGGAGGATGAACCAGGAGCTCTGTGGGAGGCCCTGGGGCACCCGGCAATGCTGCGCGTCCAAACCCACCCGCCTGAGCCAGTCTGGCTCTCTGTCCAGGAGCGCTGCAGGCGAGGCACAGCATCTTGCTGAGACTTCCCCTCACACATAGATTAGCCCAGCTTTCTGCCAGCACAGCTTCACCAAACGCAGGCTCTGAGAGCAAAGCCACTGCTGCCTGCTCCCCCTCCCGCTGGTCACCTCCCCGCCCCTCTCCGGCACCCCAAATCTCCCAGGGTGATTCGGTGCCCTGACACGCTGTGACCCCGGCTGCCTGCTGGGCACGGTGGTGGAAGGCTGCTGGGGGACAAGCTCTTCCCTCTCAGTCCCGTAGCCCACGACCTTCCTGGCAGCCGCGGGGTGTAGCGAGGGGTCCTTGCCCTGGGGGGAGGCAGGGGGACCCTTCCCACCCCTGCCCGCCACTCTGCCGGCTTCACCCGCCTGCCCCGCTCCCCAGACCTCGCTGGTTCACCTGCTGAAGACGGTGCGGCTGCTGCGGCTGCTGCGGCTGCTGCAGAAGCTGGACCGCTACTCGCAGTACGGTGCCATGGTGCTCACCCTGCTCATGTCCGTGTTCGCGCTGCTGGCCCACTGGATGGCATGCATCTGGTACGTCATCGGCCGCAAGGAGATGGAGAGCAACGACCCCCAGACCTGGGACATCGGTGAGCGGGGCTGCCCACGTGCGGGGGCTGCGCGGGGCGGGGAGCACACGCTCGGGACGCCCGGCCCCCCCTGTGCTGCCGGCGGGAGCGGGCAGAGGGCAGTCCTGTGGGGCTGGCGGTCGCGGGGGCTACAGCCCTTTTGGCTGGCTCCTGCCTGCGAAGCGAGGCCAGGGCAGGGATGGGAGCTGTGCTGGGCACCGGGCCCCTCGGCGGGCGCTAACCCTTGGCTGTGCTTGGCAGGCTGGCTGCACGAGCTGGGCAAGAGGCTGGAGGCTCCCTACATCAACAACTCAGTGGGGGGCCCCTCCATCCGCAGCGCCTACATCGCCTCCCTCTACTTCACCCTCAGCAGCCTGACCAGCGTGGGCTTCGGCAACGTCTGCGCCAACACCGACGCCGAGAAGATCTTCTCCATCTGCACCATGCTCATCGGGGGTGAGGCGGGGAGTGGGGCAGGGCCTGGGGGGCTTCACCTCCGGCTGCCGGCGCAGCGGGTGCGGCAGGTACCCCGGCGGGGCAGGGTGCTGGGGGGAGGCAATGAACACGTGCGCCCTGTGGGACAGCCCTGGGGCTGGGGTTAGGGGAGAAGCCCCCTGTGCCGCACCCCTCAGCCCCACACTGCGGGCGGGGGCAGCACCCAGACCCTGCCCGGGCCCCCGCGCGCCGCAGCCCGCAGCCAGCCAGCCCCTCGGCAGGCCTGACGCTGCCCCCCCCCCGGCCCCCAGCGCTGATGCACGCCGTCGTCTTCGGCAACGTCACGGCCATCATCCAGCGCATGTACTCGCGCCGCTCGCTCTACCACACCCGCATGAAGGACCTCAAGGACTTCATCCGCGTGCACCGCCTGCCCCAGCAGCTCAAGCAGCGGATGCTGGAGTACTTCCAGACCACCTGGTCGGTGAACAACGGCATCGATGCGAACGAGGTAGGACGTGTTGGCCGGGCGGGGCCAGGCCCCCTCCGGCCCCCCATCCTGCACCCAGCGTGGGGGTGATGGGGCTGGCAGGGCAGGCAGTGTGTGTGTGCACGCGTGTGCAAGCGCGTGCATGTGCGGATGTGCACGTGTCCATGCTCTGTGGCTGGAGGGACCAGAGCTGCGTGCCAGGGGAGTGCCACGGGGAGTGGGACAGGCATGTGGAGCAGAGGCAGCCCACCACCCTGGCCAGAGCTGCCCTGCGTTTCCCAGCCGGGACTGCCGGGCTTTGCTGAGGCAGCCAGGGCAGCTGAGCGGCGAGGTGCTCCGCTTCGGAGCAGGATCTGTCCCCTGGGGCTGCCAGGCTGCGGGGAGGGCTGCTCCTGGCCACCCGCACCCCGGCACCCCGGCCCCGCTCTCCCCAGCTGCTGCACGACTTCCCCGACGAGCTGCGCGCCGACGTGGCCATGCACCTCAACAAGGACATCCTGCAGCTGCCTGTCTTCGAGACGGCCAGCCGCGGCTGCCTCCGCTCCCTCTCGCTCCACATCAAGACCTCGTTCTGCGCCCCGGGGGAGTACCTGCTGCGCCAGGGCGATGCACTGCAGGCCAACTACTTCGTCTGCTCCGGCTCCCTCGAGGTGCTGAAGGACGACGTGGTCCTGGCCATCCTGGGTGAGGGCAGGCGGCGTGGGCTCTCCCCCAGCCCCTTCTGCTGCCCGGCCGGGTGAGGGGCCCGGGGCTGGCGCCGCTAGCCCACCCCGGTCCCTCCTGCAGGCAAAGGGGATTTGATCGGAGCCGACCTGTGCAGCACGGACCAGGTGATCAAGACCAACGCCGACGTGAAGGCGCTGACCTACTGCGACCTGCAGTACATCGGGCTGCGGGGGCTCTGCGAGGTGCTGCAGCTCTACCCCGAGTACGCCAGCAAGTTCACGGCAGACATCCACCAGGACCTGACCTTCAACCTGCGGGAGGGCAGCGAGACGGAGGTGGGTGCGTGTCCTCCCTCACGGGCCCCTTCGCGTCCTCGCAGCCCCGGAGGCCGGAGCAGGGCTGGGGCTCCACACAGCCACGGAAGGGGGGGTTGTCCGCTCCCTGCTCACGGTCCCCAGGCCCCGAGGATGTGGCTGTGCCGTCCTGGGTACAGCCTGGCCCCTCTCAGCTCCGCACGACCCTGGGAATTGGGAACAAGACCATTTGCAATGCAGGAGGCTTGAGGCAGATGGAAGGCTTGGAAATGGGGATGGCGGGGGGCACTGTGGGACAGGCAGCTGGGGCATGGTCCCCCCTCCCCAGTGCACAGGAGGCAGCGCCGGGGGCTGCTGGGTTTAGTCACGCTGCCAACTCCAGCAGCCGGGGGGATGTTCTGCTGCAGAAATAGCTCTGCAGCACTTTTCCTCCCCCATCTCTGCTGCTGGTTCTGTGCTGGCACCGAGCAGCCAGGGGCTCCCCCAGATAATCTCCCCCCAGCACCCACCGCCCCCCGGCCCTGTACAGGCGGGGCAGGACATTGCTCTAGACCCCAAGAAGCTCCACCAAAACCCAGTGTGTCCATTGCCCAAGAGAGGTGTAAATGACCCAAGGGTGGAGGGTGCAAACAGGGCTTGCCCGGTCCTGCAGAAGCCCCGCGCACCCTCCCCTGGCCGGCAGCATGCTCCCCGGGGAGCTGATGCTCCGATGGCTGAGCTGGGGCTGGGATTTGGGGTGCAGCCTCAGCTCCAGCTTGGGACACGCAGGCCAAGGTCAGGCAGCTCATCAGTGTCATGAGAACAGCAGAGGACAGAGGGCAGGCGAGGGGCTGCAGAGGCCGGTGCTGGGGTTGGTGAGGATGGGGCTGATTCACGGGGCTGGGGGAGATTTGATCATCTGGGGGGGGCACCGAGAGGCCGGGAGGGCTGGGTGCCAAGGTGGGGAGCGGGTGGGTGCGTGCCCGGCACTGTGCCTGCCTGCAGCCGGTCGCCGCGGAGCTGTGCGGGGGTCCCGGGTGCTGCTGAGCCGTCGCCGTCTGCCCTCCCCACAGGGGCTCTGCCGCTCCTCCCGGTCCCCACGGCTGTCGCAGGCACCGCAGGTTTGTGCTGCGCCGGGGGGGAGGATGGGGCCGGGGTGGCACCTGCGCGGGGACCAGCCCTGACCTCCTCCCTGCGCCCGCCCGCAGACCCATCCAGAGAGCGGTGCCGCCCTGGAGAAGCCCCTTTCCTCCATCCTGGAGGACGAGAAGGAGCTTGACGAAATCTTCCAGCGCTCGCCGGCCACCATGACCCGGCGCAAGCTGCTGCCACGCCAGCTGAGCAGCCCGGCGCGCCGCGGCTCCCTCGGCTGCCTCCTGGGTGATGAGCTGTGTCAGATCTCAGCCCTGCGGCGCAACTGCCTCTCCCCAGCCCGCTGCAGCCGGGGCCGCAGCCCCTCTCCGCACTGCCGGGGGGATGCCCGGCTCCTGGCGCAGGAGGGCGGTGGGGGCGGGAGGCCGGCCAAGCTCCTCATCCCCTCGCTGCACGCCTGCGGCCCCCCAGACCTCAGCCCCAGGTACGCGGGACATGCCAGTGGCTCACCCCGTTCCTGCGGGTTTGTGCCGGCCGCGCTGCGTGGGGAGGCCCCTGGGAATGGCGGCAGAGGGGCGAGGGGGTGAGCTTGGCCGGCCCTCACCCTCTCCCTGCCCTAGAGTTGTGGACGGGATTGAAGACAACGGGGGGACATCGGAGCCGCAAACCTTCTGCTTCAACACGGACCCCCTGCTGCAGAGCACAGCGAGGGGCTCCCCCACCTCAGGTACCTCCGGCAGCTGCCGGGCATGGCCAAGGGCGCCGGCCGTGGGGCTGGGGGGCTCGGGGAGCCCTCTGCCACCAGCCATGCCTTCCCCGGCAGGGACCGGCGCTGGCGGCACAGCCCTGGCGATGGAGACAGAGGAGATAAAGCAGAACATCAGGAGGCTCAACCAGGAGGTGCGGTGGGGGCCGGGGGGGCTTGGCGGGGGGCATCACTGTGGGGCTCACCGCTCTCCCTCCCCTTCCAGATCAACCAGCTCAACCAGGAGGTTTCCCAGCTCAGCCGGGAGCTGCAGCGCATGATGGAGCTGCTCCAGGGCCCCCCCGGTGCCCCGCAGCCCCCCGCCTACCCCTGCCGCCTGCCCGCGGCTGCCTCGCCGCCCCCCCGGCCCCCTGTCCCGGTGCCCCCCTGCTCCGGCAGCTCCCCCTCCACCAGCCCCCGGGCCAAATGCTGCCCGGTCCGCAGCCGCTCGGCCCGCGCCGCTGCCAGCCCCGCCATGCACCCCTGGGTGGGCACCGGGGGGCCGTGCTCGCTGCGGGGGGACACCCCCAGCCCTGATCCCCGCCCGGCCTCGGACTCGCAGCCCCTCTCGCTGCCGCCGCGCTCTGCCCGCACCTTCCCCGGCTGCTCGGCCGGCGGCCAGCCTTGTGCCCCCCCACAGCCCCGCACCCCCACCCAGCCCCGCACCCCCCTGCAGCCCCGCACCCCCCCGCAGCCCTGCACCCCCACCCAGCCCCGCACCCCCACCCAGCCGCATGCCCCTCCGCAGCCCTGCGCTCCCCCACAGCCCCGCACCCCCCCGCAGCCCCGCACCCCCATCCAGCCGCACGCCCCCCCGCAGCCCCACTCCAGCTCCACCGGCCCCCACTGACCCTGCGGGCACCGGAGCAGCGCTGGGGGACCCTCGCCCTGGGGACCCTCGCCCTGGGGACCCTCATCCTGGGGGACCCTCACCCCCGGAGACCCTCGCCCCGGGGCCCCCCGCCCGCCGCCCCCCGCCCGGGCCACACCAGTTCTGGTCCCGCCGCTGTCCCCGGCGCCGCCCCCGCCAGCCCGACCCCCCCCCCGGAAGGGCATCCCCCGCCTCCCCTCCGAGCACCCCGGGGCGCACCGCTCGCCCCGGCCCCCCACACCAGCAGGGATTTTGATACCTTTTTGTACTTTTTGCCCACGGGGTCTTTTTTTACAACCGGGCCTGGAGGCCCGTCGGCCCCCCCGGGACACCCCCCCCCCCGTGCCCGGGGCCGTGGGTGGGCAGCGCTGCCTTCGGGCCGGGGGGGGGGCCGGGCGGGGCTGGTTTCGTGCGTGGGGCCGGTTCGGAGGCTCGGGGGGGGTGAGGGGGGGAATGTCTCCGTGGGGTGGTCTCGGGGGGGGTGTCTCCGGGGGGGTCCCTGGGAGGCGGTCCCGGCTGCTCCTGCCCGGACTGTCGTTTATGTCGTCACGCCCCGCCCCAGCGGGAAATAAAGGCTCTATTTTTCCATCCGCGGCTCCGGGTGAGACTCTGCCCGCCGCCCCGCCCCGCCCCGCCGGGGCTCCCCGCGCCCTCGGACCACAACTCCCATCGCCCCCCGCGTCCTGACGTCACGCCGCACTGCCGGCGTGGGGGGCGGAGCACGTCTGATTGGCAGGTTTAGCTGCCTGTGGCCGGAGGGCTGGGGAGCGGAAGGGGTGGGCGGATCCGGAAGCGGAACGGGTAAAGGCGGAAGTGAGGGCCGGGGCCTGCAAGACTCACCTGCGGTGGGGGGAGCGGCGCTCCGGGCGGTGAGCGGGGCCGGGGGGGCGGCGGGTCATGGGGCCCTCCGGGCGGGGGGGCCGAGCTCTGTCCCGGCGGCCCGGGTCCACCGGGCCCGTGCGCCGCAGCCCCGGGAGGAGCCCGGCGGTGGGGGCTCGGGGGGTTGCGTGAGCTGTGGGTCTGGAGCTGGCGGGGGGCTCGGGCCTGCCTGAAATACCCCATACCCCCCCCCCCCGGGCGGGCCCGTCCCGCTCGGCATCCGGGAGGGCTGGGCGGCCCCGGTGCCGGCCGGGTCTGGTACCGAGCTGTGGCCGGGGGGGGGGGCTGCGCTGCGGGGGGAGCTCAGCGCGCCGGAGCTGACGGTTCCCCCCCCGTCACGGAGCGTGTCGCGCCCGCGCTGCGGGGACCCGGGCCTAGCGCCGTTCCCGCCGTGGGTTGGGAAGGCCGGCTCGGCAGCCGGTGCCGGCTCCCGGGGCTGCCTGACTGCGATTTCCCAGCTCCTTTGTCTCTTGGAGAGATGACTGTTTGGAAGTTAAATGGAATTTGGGGAAGGTGTGGCACCTGTAAGGATAGAAGCGGTGTAGTTTGTTGTAGCTAGTCAGCTGCTGACGTGGGAATAGAAACTCTAGAAGTGTGAAAGCTCGGCCAGGTTCCTGAGAAGAGAACTGCCTAAATGAGGGATGTGACTTTATCTGCTGAAAATAGGTTCTAGAGGAATGGAGACTATTCGGGATTGCTGCTGGTGACAAACACAGACCCTGTGCCCCCCTGGCAGCGTTTGTGAAGCAAAGTATGTGGTGCTGCAGGCTCTTGAAGAACTGCAAGGAAGTTTTGTAGCTTGTCTGGGAGGAAGCTCAGACACGAGGCCGTCCTCAGATCTTCAGCACGGTGGGAGACACCCCTGCCCGTAAGCTGGGCGCGCAGTCGGTGTGCGATCCCGCAGAGGCTGAGCGTGCAGATGTGGGTGTGAGCAACAGGTCTGAAATGCATAATCCTGTGAAAGCTGCTCCCACCTTATTCCTGGTAATGCTCAAGGTGCTGATAAAACTCCCCGGGGCTCGGTGGGAGCTGTGAGGAGTCATAACAGTCGTGGTTGCTCTCTGCTATCTAACTGTGCCTCTCACTGTAAGCTGGTCTGCCAGAAAGCCCACGTACAGTGTTGACCCGATCTCAGCTGACCTTTAGCTTGTTGCTTTTGTACGTGGCTGTCGGAATTCTGACCTTGACTGTTTCCAAGCATGTAAGGAAATCGGAGGGAAGAGGGCATGCTGAGGTACTATTTTAAGTCTTATATGGAACAACTTGCATCTACTATTCTTAGCTTTTTGTGTGGTGGGTCAACACATATTTGAGCTGCCCTGCTTATAGCATGACATCAATTCTACTTTGCACTAAGTTAGCACTCCTGAGCCTACTCTGAAGCTTTGTTGAGACCAAAAAAAGAAAGATACTTCTGATTCATATTGGCTTGACGTGCCGTGCTGTCTGAGAGAACTTTATTGGAATATCCCATTAATGTTCACTACTGCCTTGACTCAAAGCCTTTTACATTTTTTTCAGCTTAAGTGGATAATAAGGTGAAAGAACTGTCTGAAAAGGGTGAAGAATTCAGAATAGTGTGTATAGGCAGCTGCAAGACAATGTTGGTTTTAATACATTCTTGGAGTGGGGAGAGCAGGTAAAGCACAAGTCTACATAGACCTGTAAGGTTAAGAAAAGCAATGCTTGGCTTCAATAACTGGGTCTCGGTGCTGAGATCATCTTGGACTCCTCCTGAGTCTCAACAATATGCCTGAACAGTCAACTACCTTCACAGCAAAAAATCTACCTTTAGAGGCAGTCTTTCCCTCCCAGACACTACAGGTTGGTTTGGGTACATTGATTTTGAGATAGTGCCAGGCAGTGTAGATCTTAAGGCTGTTAAATGAGGTGCTGATACCCCTTCAGGTGAGGGAGCAACACAGGCAAGATGAAATGGGACTCCTGGAGAAGGGGTTAAGTTACTAGAGAGCAATACAGGGAAGGCTGGCTTGATGTGTGGATATGAATATAGTAAAATAAACCATTTGTCTAATTTTACCATGAAAAGAGTTGGGTTTAGGTCTATTTGCTTTACTAGTGAAACCAGTAATGGATTGGGTGGTGTCTGAAACAGAAGTGGAAACAGAAGTGTCTCGTATTGTATTCATACTTTGTGTGCTTACCCAAATTAATTCCACTTCTCATCACAACAGTTATCTCCATCACAGCAGAGCTCTTCTGCATCTGAAGAGGGAACAGCTCTAGAATTGCTCTAGGTCCTGCTAGTCATAAACTGTTTATCCTGACTTCTTAAACTGCCACTTGTTTAGCAGATAGGTGGTCATGGCATCCCCCTGAAAAGAGAGGGGGAAAGAATGCCAAGTACTTTCAGGCACAGGAAATAAAATGGGAACGCTTCTAACGAAGTGGGTGTAGCCCAGAGTATTTTGGTCAGCATACTTAGAAGAGGGTAGAATGTAGAAACGGTGGAGTCAGCTGTTTTCTTCCCTTGGGGTATGAAGTTTGAAGTCCTCTTATGCAAGTTCTGTTAAATCATCAGAGTAACACTGTGAAATCACTCCAAATGCTGGCCAGAAACAATGAATCTTCCTGGAAGTGACAGTATTGGGGAAGAATAAAGCTTCATCTAAATCCTAGAAGGATCCCTTTCTTCCCCTGGAGCACGGGAATGAACTGCTGGAGTAGTTCAACATAGACAGATAAGAAAACACTGGTTTTCATGTTTGCTTTTATTTGGTAGAGCTCCAAATAAGGAGCTGCTAGAGGCAAGAGATCTTTGTGCAGTCTGGAAAAGATATTATGAAGGTCACTGATTCTTTTGCAGTGAAGATGGCGGTTTTCTGCTTTGCGTTGTTTATGATCTTGCATTCTTGTTCACAGAATAGTAGGTGCTATCTAAAGGTACATGTTGCTGGACTTCTGGTCAAGATTAGGCTGTGTCTGAGGGTGTGCTGAGCAGTGAACAATATCAAGAACAAGAGTTAAAAGAACCTTGCCTGCAGAATTAAAAACTTGATGCTTTTGTTCAATTTGTAGTGGGTCCAGACTACACTCATGAGTTACTCCTTCAGCCTAGCTGTGCCTCATCTTCTGTGAAATATGACAAAGTTCTTCCAGTATCAAATATAAGTAAAAGTAGGTAAAGCCTCCAAAAGGGAGTTAATGTGGGGACGGGAAACACGGAGGCTTTATTCCCTACAGCTAGTGAGAAGCTTATGTGAAAAGGCAATGCAAAGCTCTTCCACAGAAGTATTTTGCTGCAATTCATGCCCTAATAACACTCGGTAGAAAGCTGCCACTTCTCATTCTGCTCTTTTTAAAGCAATCTTTGCAAGCGTATTGTCTCCATAGCTCAGCTAAGTAGAGCTTGACCAAAGCAGTACTGAAGGCTTGCATTCATGGGTCTTCCATCAGTCGGATCTGGTGTGAGTTTACCTGTGATAGTGTCAACACAACTTGGGGTTTGGTGACCCTGGTCAGAATGTGAGTTCTGGTGTTATCCTGGTACACGAGGACCAGGTGGAAGCACTACCTCTTGGCCTGGCTTTACTGCCTGTTTCTCTGTTCAGCTACAGTGATCTAATAGGACACCAACTGCAGTTTTAAAAGCAGTTAGTCATGCTGTTCTGCAGAATTAAAACCGCTACTGGATTAGGGATGGAACTTCCTTGTGTTGCCAGTGTGACCAACATGCTAATAACTCTTGTTGCTGATACCTACTCAGCACTCTGGAGTATAAAAAAAAACATAGCTCCCAGGTAGCATCAGTAAGTGTAATGTCTTTTTACCTCGTGAGGCGTTTTCAAGAATTCCTGGTAAAGGATAACCACTTTAACTTAGGAAACCCTTCTGAGGGTGTTGTATTTGGGGTTAAACTGGCTAGAAGGCTTGAAGGA